TTAAATAATAAAAATTGATAAATTGAGATGAGGAGACATACAGTACAGTAGCACAAGATTTGCTTGTTAACCTTTTTGTTTATCTTGCTATTGAGGGAGATTTAGAAAAAATATTAACCGATGTTGTTTTTTACTTGCTGAGCATTTGTTAACACCTTACCACAATATTGTCTCTAAATGTTTTTTAATTATTTATTATAATTATTTGTAACTTGCAAGACTTATAATTAAAAGTGCATGTCATCAAAGGCTCACCAAAAAAATTAGATGCAGCGAGCTTCTGAATTAACCATCGTCATAAGCCCTGCAATGTAGCACTTTATACACCATTTTGTGCAACATATTCTGTGCCAAGTTGTCAGGGTGGTGGTTCTGTCTGCATTGTTAGTGCAGCACAGCTGTGCAATCAATAATATTGATGCACTCCATAACAAATGCATTATTTTAAATGCTTAATGTCCACAATGTTTAATGGATGATTTGTTTACAGTATGCAATATGCTACATACTGTACCTATGGATAGATAGATTCAAATTTAATAATAATAATTCCTTGCACTTAATTGGGTTTTCAGTTCAAAATGTTTTGCATAAGGCATTGACATGCATTGACATGCAGCCCCACCTGAGTGATACACAGCAGTCATTCTGCACCAGCTGCCACACCTGGGCGACACACAGCGGTCATTCTGCTCCAGCTGCCCCATCTGTGTGCCACACAGCGGCCATTCAGCACCAGCAGCCCCATCTGTGTGCCACACAGCGGTCATTCAGCACCAGCAGCCCCATCTGTGTGCCACACAGCGGCCATTAGGCACCAGCAGCCCCATCTGTATGCCACACAGCGGTCATTCTGCACCAGCTGCCCCATCTGTGTGCCACACAGCGGTCATTCAGCACCAGCAGCCCCACCTGGGCAGCACACAGCGGTCGTTCTGCACAGTAGAAGAGGTGGAAAAGCTCAAAAGTGCATCAACAAATGCATTTAGCCAAACCTTAGGAAGGCCATATCATACAAGCCTAGAGTGGAATTTTTACCCCATCACCACAGTTTAAAATTTACTTTCATACAACAGATTTATATTTTCTCTGATTGTTACTTGTTCAACAAATAAAGGGTAAATAACACTCAGAGTAAGTTTTATATGTGTAATAGTAGTAGTAATAATATTAAGAACAGGCATGCTTTTTTACCATTTTAGCAACTTAGATAAACGTTCGGAAATCTGCCCTTGTTAAAATCAGTAGTCAACAACAGACTACCAGAAAAAAAAAAGAGCAGCGCGACGATAAAAAACAACACCCCGGGCGCCGTAGTACATCAACCACAAAAAAAACCACTTCAAAAAAACAACCACCACTGCTGTTGAGAAGATCACAAAACAGGCCGCCAACAATGTAGAAGAAGAAAAAAAAAAAAAGCAAATTGAAAGAGATGAGGACTTTAAAACAGCACAAAAATAAACCTTAACCACGAATACTGTATTCAAACATATTTTTCTCTTGCGGGTACATGCACACTTGTATTACAGTATGTATTATTTGTACTGATCATTCAGTTTTATGTTAATTCATCTTAGACTGTATTGTCAAATTAATTGAAATATATCATTTTAGGAGCCCCGTGGAGTTTATGGAGTATAACTATGAGTATAAACTGTTTAGGCTAAATATTTACATACAGCATATCATAATCTACTTTCTCAATTTCCATTTATTTTCATCTTTTTTGTGATTCAAGCGCCCTCTAAGACTCTTTCATATCGGGCTCCTTGACTGGTTCCATATGTTCTGATTTCAGACTTAATAAGAAATGTAGTGGTTTCAGCTGGAATCAGACAAAAAGCTGAAGGTCTCTTGCCAGCTCTCAGATGAAATTAAGACTTTGAGGATGACAAAGCTGTCTGCGTTCCCTAGATGCAGACGCATCTCACAGTACACTGTACATATTTCTCCAAATTACGATATAAAAATTGCTTTCTTGTTTACTGTAATGTTTGCACTTTGATTCAGGAGTAGCTTTCCAATTTTAAGTGAAAATGTATCATGTTTTAAAGAAATCAATTGAACAACAAAAAAGATACCCTGATGTAGGGTGTAGCCCTGTGGTGAAAAAAAAATCCTTCCTTCACTTACACTATCACTGGCACAGCATAACTCACACTTTATTAACAATAAGATCCACACCTTCAACAGCTTAAAATATGACAACTAAAGTGCAAAGAACAAAAGAAATTTAACTGTCCGGCAATGCATACGTTAATTTCTTTTTATCTTTAAAATCTTTAAGGGCACCTCTGGCTGCAAGCGCATCAGCTTTGTTTAAAATGATGTTATTCCTAAGCCCCCCAAAACTATATAAATGCAAGATGTATATATTTTTTATACTGTAATCAGGGCAGTTCCCATTACAGTGTGTGAAATGAGAGGTTGATCACACAGCAAATTACAGTAAGAAAGTGCAGTTGAACAAGCAACAAGCCAGACAGCAACATGCATATGTACCGTATAAAGCATGCCGCAAATATAATAAGGAAAAGCATTTTAATGCTCCTGTTTGTAGAGAAAAGAGCTTGTGTTGCTTTTGTACAATTTAAATGAGCCCTAACACATACTGTATAAAGGAACCCTGTCATCTTTTATATCATCCACTATCCATACTTGCCCCAGGGTCTTTTTATCTTGTCTCCAAAAGAACTTTTGTTCACATTTTCTGACACTTTCATGGTTGTGGTGCAGTCAAAAACAGTTCAACAAAGGTACCCAGAATACAGATAACAAAAGTGATACCCACTCCTTTCCTCTGCTGACAAGAAACTAAAAATGCATCTGCACCACTGGCAAAAACAAGAGTCATAAGGATTAGCACTGCCTTCTAATTCGGACTTCCATATACACCATGTCAGATTCATGCATTTGTTATAAATGTAGACCGTATTAATGGCAAAGGCTAGGTGGCACAAGGTGATGAATCACTGTCTGCTCCTACTGCCAGTCACAATGCCCTGCCCAACAACAACAACAAAAAACTAACAAGTATATAAATATCTTTGAGACTTTCTCCATATAAGGTTTCGTTGTTTTCATGCGCGTTGTGAAAACAATTTAAGAAAAAATACAGTATATATATATAAAATACACAGCAACATGGCAACCTGATATTCAGTTTTCAGTTCATTATCGACCTAACCACTATGTATAAGTACGGGCACAATGTTTAATTATGAAACATTCTGTCTACAACATATTCCCTTTCTGAGTATGAATATGAAGCACTCAGTTTAAGTTAGGAAATCTCTCTATGGTTTATTTTAAGAAAAGGGTTCTACAGTATTACCACGTGCAATTTGTATTCTGGGAAAACAGTAACCACCTCGCACTTTGCTGGTTTATTTTCCTAAGCTCTCCAATCAAAATATTCTAAACACGATTGAGTGTTGATACACATAATTGCAGTTCATTTTCAAACTGAAGCTATAAAAGAGCGTGCAAAAAAAAATAAAAAACAATGCCATCACCGAAACACTAGTTCAAACAACTGTAATTCTACGAATGTTCGTAACGTATTGAATAAAAACTGGAGTTTAAAATAAATCATTCAGTAGTCTATGTGGAATAAACATACATGTAAACAAATCAATTGGTTTATTTTATTTATAAAAAAGGAAAAAATGTTTAACTTTAAATGTTAAAATATTTTTTATTGAATGTTATTTTGTTGATCCCCAAGGAACCTCCCTTACCGCCATATAAAACAAGTGTGTAATATAAAAAAAATAATATATATTAAAAATATCAAACAGAAAATACTTTTGTAGAGTTCTTCGAATTTGCAGACTATTAATTTAGAACTGCCGATTTTCAACAAGTTCTAAAAAACTATGTCTCATAGGGTGGTTTTTACATGTTTAAAGATCAGACGCTGTCATTTCGGCTTTTTCATATACTTTCCTAATATCCCAACTAATACTTTTATAAAACATTCATTTCAATAGGAATTTTGTAACTTCAATAGTTGATTGCAGTTCAAATATCTTGCTCATCACAGTAACAATGCAAGCTGTGCAAGATAACGTGTACGATTTGGTACCTACATTGAATGAACTGAAAAATGTAATTCTGTATATTTCTACAGAGCTGCATACAAACTATTCACGTCCATCGCTGTGAATTGCACTTTTATAAACAGATACAGTACCTTTCGGCTCGCAACAAGTTGACATGAAAAAAGCTTTATCAAGCGACACGGCCACTAGCTTTCAACACTGATAATTAGTTGCCATGTGGTTTTATGAAATGCAGTATACAGTAAATTGATAATAACGTAAGAGCATGACCCGAATTGAGGAAAATGTACTTAAATGTACTTATATACAACAGACATCGCCGTAATCTAAAAAGGGTCACCTTCGCTGCTAGTACAGTAACAACTGAGCTGAGCAACAGTTTTAAATCTTTTTTTTTAAGAAAGCTACTGTATATTTGAATATACGTAATGAACCGGTACAGCGGATAAAGTCTTAAGAGTATCTATGATGAACAAAGCATATCATAGTGAAAGTTGCCACCCCCTGCCCTGCACAGATGAAGCTCTCACCGTACTGTATTTCGTCAACGCAAAAATTTTCAGTAACTGTCGCCTACCCATTGTCTGGCAAATTAAATCCTAAACCCAGTTTCAAATAGGATATGTCTGACTGCTAATTTAACGTCTTACCTTGAGCAAAGAAAACTACAATGAAAGAGTAATGCATAATCGCTGTTTACAGATTAGACCGCTACATGTTTCCTAGTACTGTATTAACACTAAAGACAAGTCAAATCATTGTTGTACAAAACAGATGGGAGGATGTCAATTTGTCACAAGTTTGATTTTATTTTAAAAACGGCAGCTGTTTTTAAAAACGGCAGCTTCAGCGCACGGGACTGCCAAGCATTTGGCAAACAGCTGAAAACCTCATGTAGCCTAGCTAGAAATGACCCCAACTCCTGTTACTTACAATATCTGAGAAGGAAACGGCTCCGTTGAAGAAAGATTGTTTAACAGGGAGAAGAGTACCAAAAAAAGGACGGATATCCTGTAAGAATCCATCGTTTAAACGCAATTTCCAGCACGCGAGGGGGGAAAAAAAGCACCGATCCAGAATGTGATTAATGAGAGAAACGCACTGTAAGTCCACAGCAGCTTGTAGTGACACTTAGCCAGATAACAGTCTGTTACTCCACTAGCTAATCTGATCAGCCGCCATCAGCGCTACTTTCTAACAGATCGCGGCTGTTTTCTCTCTCTCTCTCGTTTCAGTTTCAGCTGTGTTAGTTTGTTTTCCTTAAATAGATGCAGTGAAATTGTATTTTGCAAGTGGGGTAGAACGGTCTTTATCTCCTCCTCTGCAATGAGAGACCAGTGTCAGACCCCACTAGATCAGTTGCACACAGTAAACCCCTCCGCCCCCCCCTCCGCAACCCCCCTCCTCTGTTGATGATGATCATGTACTGCCTTCCATACAAGGAAGAGAGGAACTCACCAACTCAGCAGCTGATCTCCTTTACCACCGCCTTTGATCAGATACACAACCAAGCCTCCTAATATAAACCTATTGGCAAACTTAAAGGAGCAAGACATTACATATCTGCAGTATAAGACAAGGACGACAACAGGTTAGGGTGAGAAAGGAAGCTGATTCTGTATTTGTTTCTTAAAACTGATCTTCTGAATGACTCTTAAAAAACCTGTTCTGTTTTCAGTTTTTATTCTTTGAAGAGTTGCCATTTAAACAATTAGCTCATATACATTTATGCCTGTTATGTGTCTCTTATATACTGATAACCAATGAAAATGTAACAGATGACTTTTACATCAGTAATTTACTGGGGACATATTGTAAATTGGGCTTCTTATCTTAAATTGTGAGCAATGTGTTTCTTGATAGTTTGGTTAGTATTGGAATGTACCACCTCTGTAATGATCCTCTGAACTCTGAACTCTGACCACTTTCTGACTCCCCATCATCCCCACCAGGTAGTGAAGGTGGGGGTCCTGACTAATAAAGGTCAGGTACGTCAGGATGGGAACCTGAAACCACATACACAGGTGGGGAAACATGGGACAGCCACACACTTACACTCACATAAAATGCACACAAACCTCTGTACTCCTCTGTGAGTCTGAGGAGTTAACACTGTCCTTGATAGTTCCAAACTATCCCAAACAACTTCCTGTCTGTCCCAGCATGCTCTCCTGGGGCTGACATCACCAGCACCACTGCTTATCTGCTCAGCGCCCCATCACTGCCTGATGAGGATGCTACACTCCTCTGGGTGACTAGCACACAGTGCACCTACAAAAGGGTAATAAAGTCAGTGAGCTGCAGTTCCCATATCCTGCCTCTCTTCATACAGGACCCACTCTGTATGGGAACACTAGGGGGGAATTGCTGCACTATTTTACCTTGGGATGACAAAACATAGAGTGCAAGCCGTGGGATTGCATAAAAACACCATGTCTGCCGTTTAAGTCAAATTGTAGTGGCCATGATGAGTTTTTGAAAGAGTCTGTCTAGCCATTCATAAAGACATTATTTAAATTGATGCAGGCAGCACTATCGCCTTGTATTCTAATCTTTTCAGATCTAAGAAGCTCATCGGGGTTGGGCCTGGTGAGTACTGGGAAGGGGAAACCTCTCAGGGAAACTAGGCTGCTGCAGTAGTGTTTGTGGACCAGTAGGTCAGAAGACTTCTAGTTCAATTCCCCATTGTAGTGACCAGGGACACTGTGTTTAATCTGCTCATCTGATGATAAACCAATAAATGTTCCAGGTTTTTACACGGCACTGTTCACAGAAGTAGGGGAGTTAACCATTTATAAGCAGATTTATAACCAAGTTCCCCTTTAATCTATCAGGTGACACAATATCTCTCTTCCTTTCTTGATCTCCTTTTGAGGGCTGCAGGTTCTGAATCACTGCCATGAGACACATACAGTTTACTGTACAGTAGATGCAAGGAAGAATCATTTCTTATTTTTCATTATATGACAATGTAGCCTTTGAATAATTAAGACCATGTGGTTATGTCTGACATAATTAAAGACAGCCTGTCAGTAAGAGATGTCCAGAGAATGAGATGTGTTACTTCAGCAACCTGCTGTCTAGTTCTAAGAAATCAGGAAACCAAATCCATGAGGAGCCCATGTCCTGAAGGGCTGAGAGCTACAGTTCCATGTCAACTCTTAACCCAGAACCAGAACCATCTGTCAGGTCCCAATACATAATTGTTTTCAAATCGCCATTTCTATAACACAATAAATTGCAGGACGAAATAACCTGTGCACCAGCAGAATTACTGTAGCTTGCTGTCTGCAGAAAAATAAATCTTCTACATGCAGGCTTTTAAAGAATAACACGTCGACAGCTGAGAGGTGTGAGTGCTGTCTTCTGTTGGCCAGAGAACATCTGAGCTGGCAGCAGAGAGAGTGGTGAAGTGTTCTATCCATTGATGAATGCTGTTTCGCCTTTGGCAGACCTGATGGAAGACAAAGTGTTGGGAGATACCATAGAGAGCATTATGGCAAGTATTGTGCCAGTGTCAAACAGTGACATGGTTTGAACTCTGTTGATGGGTGAGGAATCTGCTTTTGGTGCAGATTGAGGGCACCAAATCTGATAACTTTATTGCTCGTCGATACATTGACAAAGTCTCTTAGGCAGTGATTTTCCTATTCCTACAGACCCATCTGAAAGTGTCAGTTTTCCATCAAAGCAATGATACAGCTTCAAGAAAACAGTGCTGAGGCCCTGTTATAGTCAGCACTTTCTCCTGACCTTAGTCCAATAGGGCATCAGTGAGACCAACTCATTAATGCCAGGAACAGGAGACAAATGCTTGTAGCTCTTCAGGTTGTAGTTGCACAAGAGGAGTGGCAGAGCATGACAGAAGAGACTGACCAAGACTGTGCTCCGGCACCAGCAGGATAGTATGTACTCTTGGGGAGACCAGAACTTTTTTTAAATGTTGACAGTAAGCCATGTTTCATTAACTCTTTGATCTGTATTTTTATATATTATTTTCTGTGATTTAATTTCCACAATATGTATAACAATTGCTGAACTCCATTAGATCTAAGCATTGCATTTCTTATGAGAAACAATATAGAGTTAGATACAGTACCCCTAACCTAATTAATGAAAACCTTGAATTAAAGTTTCATAAAAAATAATAGTTTAATAGCATGTATTTCACTCTAGAAATATAAATCACTGCTGCTTCAGTATTATCATAGTTATTTGTGTGTTTTTACCTTCAAGGTGACAGGTATTAAAGCTTTCATGTGTACATGCGATAGGGTTCATGTCTAATTTGTGTTGCTCGTGTGGCAAATTTGAAAAAAAATACCACCTTCTCACTTAAGATGCAAACACTATTTTGGAGGCATTACACATTCTTCTTGCAGTGTTCCAAGCTTAATTATATCACAGTTAATCAATGGCAGGAGTTTGTTCACTAAAATAGAAGAGGACCCATAGTGAATGTCCTAACCACAGATTATATTTGATCCTATGGAACCCATTGGCTGTAAGTAAATAAACTAAGCATGACCCTCTTTAGAGCATAAATAGTATAACATCACACGCCTGAAAAGGGTGTTGGATGTTTCATCTGAAAAAGCAAAATAATTGTGCTTTCGGACTCTTACAACACTATTATAATATGCACACATGTTTTAACAAACAAAAAACAAAATCAGAGTATTGCTCTTCATTTAGGAATAGGTTGAAAATGAAAAATCATACAGGGCCACAGAGGCATAGTTACTGAATTCAAATCAAAGCAGAAATCCAGAATCTTGTGAAGTATAAAAATCAAGATACAGAAATTGTTTCATATATCTACAAAAGATCTTCACCAGAACCATTGGCTGCAATTTAATCACCTTAATATTGGTCAAATTCATTCCTTTTTAATTCATGGTTTGGAAATTAATTATATCTGAAGGGAATTAGTCAATGAATTGCAAAATCCTTTTTACAATCAGGGGAATTGTAAATCATCTCTCATTTGAGATGATTATATACAATGGTCCCTAATAAACAATGAATAGACAAATACTCAATTGTTAATAAGATGAAACAGTATATGCACACTTACCAGAAAAATCCCATTCTACATATACCATGGAGATGTTTAAAAGCCTTTTTGGTTTGTTTTTCATGTGCTTTGTGCTGTCCAAATATGACATTTCATTTTCAAGACTAGCACTGTAGGAGAACTCTCAGTCTTGAGATCGGGGTGTGGATTTAATATCTGTAGAGACTCATTCTGATCCTGTGGAAATACAGACATAACACGTGGCTTTTACTAATGTCAGTCACTAATCTGTGAACAAAAAGCCAAACAACAAACTAGAATTAACAGGATTAAGCATCATTACATGGGGTTTCTTAGGAATTACAAAACCCTGGCTTAAAAAAGCTTTAAAGCAAATTAATGAAATGTAACTATATGCTTACTTTAATTTTGTGGTTTCCAATAGTGCTCCATCTTATTATTACTAATTATACCTTCATATGCTGTGGTTGTGAAATTCTTTCTATTTTTTTATTTTGCTTGCTCTGACATGTTTTTAGGGGATTGCAAAAAGCGTTACTTCAAACATTCTTCTCCCAACAAGAGAACCATTTCTAATTATTTCACTTTGGCTTCTAATTGCTGTGTATCAGATATCTCTAGTATTTCAAAAAATGAATTAATTAATCTTTTGTGTAAATATGTGTTCCCATATTTTTGATTGACAGAAAATCATTGTGGTATTTTCAATAAGAGTGTCAGCAACCTATGTAATTCATTTAATTAGCCTCAAAAGCATGTTCACATTTATTAATTGTAAAAACTGTCAAAATCATCGTTCTATATACAAATATTTTATTATATACAGTATAAACGATATTTTTTCCTTGGTGGTTTCAATAATAGAGGACTCAAATATTTTAAGGTGCATTATCTGAATGTGACTTTAAACATCTTCCCATTTTTTATTGTTTTAATACATCTTCATTCCTAAGGATCCTATAACGCATTATGTATAGTAGGGGACCCTCTTCATCCACCAGAGGTTACTATCCCAGTACTGACCAAACTCAATTTGTGCAGTTTCTGAGAGCTATGTAATGATGAGAAGGGTACACACGCAAGGTAGCATTTGTGAACAACTGCAGTTTAAAAACAAATGTTTAATGCAATATTTAGCTCACTGTCTGAAATTTCTAAATGTATCCATAATTGTCACGTTTCTCTCCAGTAATGAGATGACAAAAAATATTTTCTTATAGAGATTTTTAAGTGCTGTCTATAAAAATTTCATGTTCTAAAAGACTGCTCAGAATCCCATCAGATTGATAAAATTATACATTTTCGGGAATACAGAAGAAAACAGGTGCATTGAAGG